AGCTGCATCGATGCCATAAAATACGTAACATCAATCAATCTGCCAGAGTTAATATTTACACCGTTATAGTTTTTCTCGATATCGATTAATCCAATTTTTCAGAAAACACCCTGTATATGCTCAATTTAATTTTCGGTCAGATGGCTACGTAAATTCCCAAAACATGCGGGTTATGAAGGGTAGGAGTATTCGAGGCTATCTCAAGACGAAGATTAAGTGGGCCCATTTTCATTCACGGTATACAAGTATCAAAAATCCCCCCTTCCTCCTCCACCCCACTAAACACTACTTGTTGTTCAAGAGCTTTAACAGTTGCAAGATATCGAGAGATTTTATAGCAGTTTTTTCAACAGTTGCATGATGAAATTGCGGGCGGATAATATTAGTGCAGCCCAATAGGGAATTTTGGGATTTCCCCAAGCGCGGCAAGCGAAGCAACCTGCTAAGTACCCTTCACCACATATATAGCCCTTACTACAAGATCGTGGATCTAGGGCACCCAATCAGAAAAGTAAAAAACTCGATCGTTAGGAATACTCGAGCGCATCAGATTCAACTAAGGTGGGTTGACTACGTGTTGTAAAGTGTGCATTTTAATAACATGACGATTTCAGCGTGACGTAAAGGAGTGAGAAGGTCACAAACTTGCAAAAAAAATAACGTTACCTTGACATTCTCCAGCAAGTTGGAATTTTTGTTGTTGAAGGAAATTATTCAAGAATAGCAGAAGAATTTCGTCTCTCGTAACCGTAAAATGTGTTAAATTACCTCGGATGGCCTTGAAAATTTACGGGTTCAATGACCTCCGCAGACTTTGAAAATGTATAGTCGATGACTTCGGATGACCTTGACAATGTAATTTGACGCCACAAAGGACGATGACCTTGGATGACCGAAAATATATGGGACAATTACGTAGGATGACTTTGAAAACGTATTACCTTAGATGACGACCTCGAGAATGTAAATTGACACCTCAAACAATTGGTTCGCTGACATTGAATTTCCAAGGTCACATTCGCTAACCTTGACCTACTTTACAAGGTCCCCGCCAGATGGCGAACTGGTCCAGGATCGGCTTTGTTTATCTACTCGTGTGTACGTCCCGAGATTGGGCGCTTGTTTACCTGTACCAGTGCCTAACTCTTACTTTTCTGATTACTCTGTATCGGCACCTTTTTTTCATGCGAATTTAGAATTTACTTGCCATCATTCTTACCGTTTTAACCGTTCCGCTTCCCAGTGTCACTTTCGTTAACCCGCATCCCGATTATCCCTCTGTGTAAAATGTGTGCCTGCTCACCGCGCCTTTGAGTTGAGTGCGTGTGATTTAACGTCAATAAAACAACAACCCCCTTGCGAAACTTTATTCAACTGTATCTCCTCAACCTGTCCGTTCTCCCTGCCGGTAATTCTAGTTCCCAGATGAATTCCCTAGTAAAGAGATTACTGTAACAAACAACTACCCAAGTTCATCTAGCTTTACACCTACACCCGTTCCATTAATACCTGTTCCGAGTATGTCCAGAATTGCGAATAGCTCTCCGGTTTGACCTACACCGCCTTAGTAAATTTCTGCCGACGTGCCAGGTATGACCTATTGGCATTCTCTAAATACTTTCATTCATTTTAGTTGTGGTTGTACATACTCGCCGAAATGGTTTTGCTGTCCCTGCTCGGGTAGTCCAATCAAATTACGGTTTGGGCTGGATGTTGTCACTTCACTCAACGACACCAAGCCAATCCTATGTAAAAAAATCCGCTGATTCCGAAAATCATAGTCCCCCTGGCCGGAAACGCCCGGAACATATTGTTATAAACAAAAAACGAAGAAAAAATGGGAAAATGTCGTGTTTTTTCACATTTGACTTCAAATATCTCGTTAACTATTGCTCGGAGGGAAAAATGAATAGAAATGAACTTGTTTAGAATAAAATTTTCTATAAGATACAGTTGGTCCGGAACGCTCATTTTCAACTGTTATTGTTATTTATGGAAAAATGTAAAAAAGTAATCTCGAAAATTAACACTGTTATTACTATGTAAAATTCATTCGATCTTTTTGAAAATCCGTATTTAGTAACTTCTTTTGATAACAAAACAATATGACAAAACCAGATCACCGTAGGTTTCATACTCATTGATTAATTAAATAAACAAGTAGAAAAAGGGATGCTTTGTCTTTCAAACTGGGGGAGTACAAGAGTGTTCCCAATTTTGTTATACATAGTGGAACCGTAAAACAATCTTTTCCAATAATTGTCCCGATCATTTTTGCAAATCAACGGACTGTGGAATTTTTTTAGTTAACTAACAAATCGAAGAGCTTTCGAGATTTAACAAGAAAAGTAACTCTATAATCGGCCCTTGGCCCTCGGATTAATAAAAATCATTCATTTTGGTGAAATAGAGCTCATTTCTCGTGAACTATTAATCGGATTTGGACGTATTTTTTTTTAATGTACGGCTTTCCGAGAGCTTTAAATTCGCCTATTATAGAGTTATATTTTTTTTGTTATATTTCGGGAGTTATTCCATTTGTTAACTTAGAAAATTCTTCGGATTTTGAAAAAAAAATTGCACAGTCCGTCGATTTGCAGGAATCATCGGATCAATTATTGGAAAAGATTGTTTTAGGCTTATAATATGTATAAAAAAATTGAGAACACTCTTGTATTCCCCCAGTTTGAAAGACAAAGCATCTCTTTTTCTACTTGTTTATCTAATTAATCAATGAGTATGAAACCTACGGTGATCTGGTTTGTCATATTGTTTTGTTATCAAAAGTAGTTACTAAATACGGATTTTCAAAAAGATCGAATGAATTTTACATAGTAATAACAAAGTGTTAATTTTCGAGATTACTTTTTTACATTTTTCCATAAATAACAATAACAGTTGAAAATGAGCGTTCCGGACCAACTGTATCTTATAGAAAATTTTATTCTAAACAAGTTCATTTGTATTCATTTTTCCCTCCGAGCAATAGTTAACGAGATATTTGAAGTCAAATGTGAAAAAACACGACATTTTCCCATTTTTTCTTCGTTTTTTGTTTATAACAATATGTTCCGGGCGTTTCCGGCCGGGGGGCTATGATTTTCCGATTCAGCGGATTTTTTTACATAGAATACACTTGGTTTCGTTCAGTGAAATGACAACATCCAGTTTATACTACTTTTAGAGCTAATTTGACTGGACTAGGGCGCCAAATTATGTGGAGGTCCGACTGTTGTCCACTGCATCTGGTGGCTTCAGTATAAATAAGTTGGAGAGCAAAATAAATTGTAATTCTATTAATAAATAAATATAAAACAAAACTAGTATATCAATACAAAAATAAATCGGTACTGCGGTTTCACGTGCAGCCCTCGTATCGGCCGGTACCTCCCTCTAGCGCCCTCAGGGGGTAAAAAGTCGGTGGACGGCGAATCGGCCGGCTGTCAAATTAACGGAACCAAGTGATAGAACAAAAAATAAATATTATTCACTCGCTCTCAACTACTCGATGGAATTTTTAGGCCTCTGAGTTACACTGACGGCCATTTCATTTAAAATGACTCTCTTACATAAAAATCACAATAATACAAAACAAATGACAACTTTGGCATTCCACAAAACGGAAGAAATGAAGGCAAAATATTATGTTGATGATTTCTTTAGTCTTAAACCTAAATAAATTAAAAAAATTCAAGTATCGCCGAAGGATAATAAGCTCCTATTTGCACATGAGACGTGTAACCATGGATGAAATTGTATCTAATAAAATGCAGTCAAAAAGCTTCTCTTGATCATTGTCCTGACTGGAAAATGGTGGGTAACCGCATAATAAAATATGTAAAATAAGTCCCGCTGCCCAAACGTCAAATGTTAAACCGCAAGTATCTCTGGGGCAACGTATGTGGATGTTCCACACACTGTATATAAAGACCCTGTAACCTGACAAGCTAGCCCAAAATCACCCAGTTTTAAACCCCTAATTTTGGACCCATCGATATCCACCAGTGAATTTTCAGGTTTAACATCTCGATGCACAATATCAAGGTTGTGCAGATACACTAATGCCGAAGTTAAATGGTTGATCATTAGAGATGCTTGTTTTTCGGAGAATTTCTGGGCCATCGAATAAATCGCCACCGTTAACTAATTCGCAAACTAAATGCAACATCGGCTTAGTATCCTGCTCGTCTACAAGTCTCATGATATTCGGATGATTCAATCTCCTAGGTATCCGTACCTCATTCTCGTTCATATACCCCCACGCCCACCCAATCAAACCGGCAGATTAACATACCTCCAATATCAGAGGTGCATATTATACACTGTCGATATATGGTGCTCGAGTATTTTCATGTGACTATTTTTGTATACAGTATTTAAAAAGGTGTAGACGGCCGTAGAAAATACTTATTAAAATCAATTAATCTTGATAGGAATCGGAGTGTAACTAATCATTTGTCAACAGTTATTAAATATTGATATAATTGTTGAAAACTTCTGCAAAATGCCACAGGTCAAACTGGCGGCGAACGTATTTCTGGATAAAATATAATTTGTCGATAAAATCAATGTCAGAAAACAATAGCCCTTGAAGAAAGTCTATTTGGATTTAAGAAGCGCGAACAAAAGATTAAATCTGCTAGAAATTATTCCCTTGTAAGCACTTTTTTACATAGAAGGAACGAATAAAGGAATAAAAAGTGTATTAGTGGATTAATCATTAAATTTATCATCTCTGCATAAGCTCGCATTGCTTGCTTTTACCCTTTACATTCAGGCGCCGAATAACTTGAGCAAATTACGATTTGAAAAAAAATGGGGGTTGGATCTGTGCGCTTTGGTGTAATCGTCATCGAGAAAGAAAAGCAGAATGAAGGGCTGCAAATCCGACGACCGCCTTCGGCTTCGGTTGTTGACGAAGAGTTGGCGGTGCCCTTACCATGTGCCGGCAAACAATGTTGTGGTGGAACCCTCACAGAACGTTGTTTGACGTGCGAGTTGATGCATTTGAATTGTGCGTGTCGTATTTTCGGCGCTCTTCGATTCGATTAACTTTTTTTGTGCGTGCTTTATTAACTTTATATAAATATGATGTGTTTGTGTATGTGTTTCGTACTAAATTCCTAAGCAAAATGTGATTACATCTCGGAAGATCCAGTTTACTAAATCGGTAAGTTTAATGTTGTCGGGCACTAAATTGTTATTGTTTATTGTACCAAACAGGTGCGTAAACTTGTTATAATTGACCCACTTGAAATGCCGTTAATTGTTATGTTCTTGTTTTTCGAGCGAGGAGGACGTGAACTCGACTTGCTACCTTCAGTTTATCGGATTAACTTTTTTTTATTTATTTACTTCATGGTTCACAATTGAAATTTACTTTGGTGCAACCGGAAATGACCAACGCGATTCGCTTTAATGTTGGTAAAGTTGATTAAACATGTATTGTGATTGCTAGCCCTCCGCATGCCAGAAATTACGTGCTCGTTTGTGTATTATTGTCTAACGAAACACAAAAAAAGTTGTTCGGCCAATCTTGATCCAATGCGAAAAGTGCATCTTGAATACAGATTGATTGCAAACAAAGATGATTATTTGCAGACAGTCGACGGAAATGCAAATTATAACCACATTTAGTGTATAATGAGTGACGGCCGTAACGAGTATGAAAACTTGTATTATTTTGCCATCATTAATTATGCTGCCGTTTTTCTTAAACATCTTTAAAAGCAAATTTATGCTCGCCTCTTTTTTTGTGTTGACAACCATCCAGCTTAAAAGGCAATAAATCTGTTCTCTTGACCGTCCTGAAATCTCTTCCAGAGACTCGTTTTAAACGATATTTTGATTAGACACGCACAGGCTATATTAAAGTCAAATATTTATTATTGTAATTGTGTTGTTTACACTATTCTGGCATTCTTATGCGTTTTAATTAAACGTCATTAAAAATGATGGTTTAAATGGAAATTTATTCAATTAGGAATGGGTTCGTTCCGTGCTTTTAATATTTGGTGAGGGGTACGAGTACAATGTAGAGCACAAACTATCAGAAATTACGGAAAGGTTTTGGAAATGATTGTCGAAAGTGTTTTGGGACTGTCAAATGTTCAAAAACTGTTTCGGGCGAGGGGTAGTTGACTATTGGTATTAGGAATTAGAATTTAGAAATACCTGTATTATCTATGAAATTAGAAGTAAACAAACTGAATCAATCGTACCAATAACAATAATCTCGAAAAATTGAACAAATGACAATGGTAGTTGGCAAGCGTGAAGGTAGCCAGTACACGATAGCCAGTACGCCCCAGTACATCAGTACTCTGTAGTACCGTTTGAGTACTACATCTTATGATGACAAAGACAGAAAAAGTTTGCTACCTACAAAAAACGCCGATATTTGATGTATTGGCTGACGGTATTTGACAGCTAGCCAGTAACTGGGTATCGAAAACCAGCACATTAATATGCAACAGTACTATTTAGTACTTCTTTGGATTGCCAGTACACGAAAAATTGATAACTAGGATATAAACAAACAGCAGTATTATTTAGCACCGCTTAAGAACTGATTAAATGTGCGTTCACTTTTCTGATCTTTGGGACTGTCTGAGTGTCTACTTTGTAAATATCGCCACCAGTATAGGGGATATTGGATGTACGGTACATAAATAAGCAGATGAGCGGAAGTTAGAGAAGGGAAGGAGGACGAAACAGACGTGACACGTTGCTTTTTGGTGGTCATTTTTAGTATTTTTTAATATATGACGGTCAGCCGTAATCAAATTTGTTTTTGAAAGACAGTCAGTCTTGGCGATAGTAAAGTTGATGTTGAAGGAAGTTGGAATGTTGTATTATGAGGTGCAAATCGTTGTGATATAAGTGAATAGTCTGTTTCGAGTTAAGTTCAGCAGTGCATCACGTGTTCAAAAAATTAGTTTGCGTGTTTTGTCGTTCTTGCAGTAATCGCATAAGTGAAAGCCTCGGTGAAAGCCTTTATTTAAGGTTATCTAAGTTACCTGTTAGAGTTTTACCACAAAAAATCCAACATTACGTCTAAATGTGTCAAAGCTAGTGGTGTTTATATCAAGACTAAAGCGAACTTAACGAAGTGCAGTTATAGAAGCCTCATCGGCTTTGTGTTTGGGGGGTGAATCGCAGTGGACCAGATGTTAAGGTTGTTAACTTTAAGATAATTAGAATTTTCGTTTAAATTTAATTTGTTTCTATCGATCGCTTGTACGTGGTATTTGATCGGTGACTACTCAGTTGACCCTGAGTGCCTATTTTTCTTTCAGCTATATTTATTGACTTATGTCGAATAAATTTGTTTTATCCGTAAGTGATTACCTTTGTGTTATATCGAGTCGAAATTACGACCTAGATAAGAGATCTCATGTCAAATTTTCCCCAGGATTTTGCCCAGGATTATGCCAGGAGTTAATTAAAAATTTGTTCAATAATTCTTTGTAATTGTGAGAGTGGACAAGGCTGCTGAGTTTCTCAAATTGATACAATTAAAATCTTATTGGTTTTTTTTTGTAATATCAGATGCCGGACCTGCTTTCGGAAATGTTATAGTCCACATTTTCATGTAGGTAAAAGGTTTTGTTAGTACCTACTTGAGCCCAATTGAGCTAGCTGGACAGGTGTTTATATGGGTTATTGACCGTTTACCATTGCACATAGCAATATATAAGCATATAAGCAGTGGCGGACCGGCGGACTAGGCACACCGAAAGATATGCGCCCCAAAATAATCTTTAAATTGCAATAAATTTTAAGATGCTAATAAAAATCAAATTATAACTTGAAATTTTTAAAACTAATATTAATGAAATTCGAAAGAAATACAGTATACCTAAGATTAAGTTTTCACACCCGTCAAAACTTGGAATTATCGATTATCGTTCTTACAGTTACAGTTTGCTTAAACTATCTACCAATTCCAATTTATTTCATAATTTTACTTACAGATTTTGGTCATTTGTAACTTGTTAGGGGATTTATTTTAAAACGAGTTTTAAAACTTAAAATGTTACCTAAAATAAATATAGTGCAAAAAATGCCGCCCTCTAAAGCTGCCGCCCCTAGGCACATGCCTAGTGTGTCTATATGTAAATCCGGCACTGCATACAAGGTATCTCAACGAAAATTCTACCCTCCTTATCTGGAAAACCAAACATTTGCGGAGAATTTCCAAAACGGTTCAAATTTTTTTTTGATGGGGAAGATATATTCTATAAATAGAAATACAATTTTTTTTTAAATTAACCAGCTTCTAAAAACATACGTTGAGAATTACGTTCATACAGGTCGAAAACGAGGGGTCTCTCACTGCCGGCAATATGTGTACACATTTTGTTTTTGCACTGTACAGTGTCTAGCAGTGTGTTGCAGTGTGCCAGGGTGCGTCACAGTGTGCCACAGTGCGTCCCAGTGTGCCACAGTGCGTCACAGTGTGCCACAGTGCATCACAGTGTGCCACAGTGCATCACAGTGTCCCATGTTTCCCTCCACAGTGCCCTTCCGAATGCTGCAGTGTAACGCAATAAATTTATTTTATGATTGTGCGCAATGTGCTGAATTTTGCGTAATCGACCGTTATCGATGTGTTTATTTTTGCGATTGCCTTTGAAGGGCCAAGTGTATATAGGTAATTCACAACGTTTTCGTTTTTATTTTTAGTGCACATCTTGAGGAAGGTCAGTAAATCTTAATTTATAATTAATGGTTCTAAATCAATAATAATAAAAAAAAAATAAAGCTGGGGATCAAGTTTATAAAGGGGCAAAGTGTCGCATTATTAGTGATCCTCGTAGTGATCCTAGAGATCGTTTATAATTTTGTATTGCTGTATGTCTGTCTTCGTGTCTGTCCGTGCGCACGACAACTTTGTTTAGAAACGTCCGATCACTTTGAATATTGGTACACACGAGGGTACACATATATTCTTAAGGATATAAGAAAGGTCGCCATTGTTACAAAGAACATATGAATGTCTGGTTTTTTGTCTTAGTACACATTCTTTAAACCTCATGCAACTATGCAAATGAAAACAAAAATTGCGCATGCGCAACCCAACTTTTGTATTTGCGCATGCAATGTTTTAAATACGATGCTGATCTGGTGGAACAAAATCAATCTCTTAAGGTGTGTTGTAAAATTTATGGCTGCGTGAAGATCTCGAAGATCGTTCAGTATACAGTTGTATCAGATTTTTATCAATATATTTCTTTGTGCGACATGGTAACCCTTTACATCTGGAATATATTAACAGAGATTAACTATTTATTTTAAACTGGTTTTACATCAACAATAAATCGATCAATTTCTTGAACTCAATTTCTTGTCGGATTAGCTCAAGTTCTATTTTTCTCACAATTTTTACTAAAATGAATGACAAATGATACACTGACTGATGCTGATGTACAAGAAGAAACAAGTAAAAAGGTTTTCGTCCTAAGGCACGTGACTAGCGCATTTTCCATGCATGGACATGTACTCCCCAAAAGACCATAGCTATCTTTTTTTACTTTTTTTCCATTTACGGAATGGTTAAAATTTCGAAGAAATGTCTCCATAGATAAGGAAGTTGGCACTGCGCAATCTGATTTTCGCAATAATATGCGATAGATAGCATTACTATTATAGCAGCATCTGTGGTTAAAATTTCAAAGACATATCTTTATAAACATGGCAGTTGGTACTGCACATGCGCACATCCAATGTTTACAATATGACATGTTGCCTTTAAGAGAAGCAGCTGTGATCAAAATTTCAAGAAGATACATACCTCGATAAATAAGACAGTTGATTTCGCTCATCCTGCGCATGCGCTAATTAATCTGATGTTTAAAATATGCGATACGTTTGCCTTTACTAAAATCATGTTTGACGTGCTACTTCAATTTCACAAGAATCCTGCCCTAAGATTTTAGAAGGATTGGTTCACAAATAACGAATGTGGGGCTGGGCATGCGCAATAATTGTTTTACGTGTTTTTAGTCGCATCGGGTTACGCATGCGCAAAACACATTTATTTTATTTGGCCTTAGTTTTGCCTTTATTCGAGCCTACATACAAATTTCATTTTAAGTATTTTAATAAATAAAATTGAATTGCGCAAATACAAAAGTTATCGAGCACAACTGCACACAGAAAGACAGA